AAAGCCTCCGTCCCCAGCCTCTCCTCAAGTATCTCCAGATGTCTCTGTCCCCACTTTAGTGAGGGATCTCCTGTCTGTGTCTGCCACTCTGCACTCAGCAGGAAGCTTAGACAGCATAGAGCGGGGTGGAATCCCACCTGGGGGCAGGGATATTGGGTCCTTTGATGCTCTTGCTGCTCAGTGGGAGTGGTCTCTGCCTGAGGAAGATGGCTGCTGCCATGTGGGGGATGAGTCAGCAGTAAGATCCCACCTGCTACTATCTCAGTTCTCTCTCCAAAGCCTCTGTCCCCAGTGTCTCCTCAGGTATCTCTAGCCCACTCTGCTCTCGCCTTTGCCGGAGACCGGGGTAAGTGGCTGCAAATAAGAATTTATGTGTTTGCCCTTTAGAAGGCTCTTTGCATCTCCAGCCGTCTGTCTCAGGTAGAGAGCTACCCTGCTGCTTTTCGCAGCTGGCTCTCTTCTGTGTACCTCGTCAGCTCTGGTGATGTGGGCTAAAGATCCCTGCTTTTGGTTTAAACCCCACGCTTCTCAGGGGGATCCAACTAGCTGTTTAATATCCTTCTGGTGCTGCCACCTATCGGCACCCTGCCTGTCTTCTCAGGTCTGTACCACACTCCTTACCAGTTAGATTGCAGCAAAACTGATTCTTCTGTGTCTGAGGTTACAAGGCTCCTCTCTCACTCTTGTTCAGTTGTTTGTTCCAGGTGATTTCTCCACAATTTAGTTGTAATTCCAGGTTGGTACTGGGAGGAGGTCAGTGTGACTTCCACTCACTCCTCCACCATCTTAATTCTCCTTGTTGATTCTTGTATGTGCCCTGATTGGGCATCAAACTCATAACCTTCGCATATGGGGATGACTCCTACCAACTGAGTTGTCCGGCCAGGACCAGTGTTGGGAACTGTCTTGTATTGTTTCAGGAATGTAGCCTCGCCAGCAAGCAAGAGAACCCCAAGGCTGGAGCTAAGCAAGTAGGCCTTTGGAAAATAGGCCACTGAGGAGAAAAAACTTATTCCCTACCTCTCACATCACTCTGCTTGGCCCCAAAGGATGGCTGGTTAATCAATGATAGTAAGACCCCTTCATGGCAGGGGCAACCTAAAACAGGCACAGTTGCATAGAGGCCATCAGGGAAGGACTCGGGGGACACGGAGAAAGGGCAAAAAGACCCTCACCCCTCAGCTCTGATATGACCGGAGTCCTCATTCTGTTTGAAAGAAGTCTTCTTATCTCTTGACTGCTCTGCTCCACCTTCCTGGCTCAGGCTTGAAACAACACTGGAGGCAGCCCTGGACTGAATTTGGCAGTTCCTGTGGAGAATCAGGCCTAGAAGTAAATTCGTTGAAGCATGTTTTGTTTTTCCCTCCAAGCTATGATAACCAGCTCATGCTGGGAAGGAAATTTACCTCATTTGTAGACCCTGACCCTAAACCATTTGGTGCTCTCATGTTTACTCATCTTGGACCCATGTAAATTGGTTTGTTCCTGCCATTTGATTTCTTCAAAACATCATCTATTTTCTGTAAACATTAACATACTGATATAATGAGATCACCTATACATTCCTAATACCTACCCCCCATTGATAAACCTTTCAATAAAAGCCATTGGACACAGGGACTCAGGGCATTCTCCACTAGAGGGAATTGCCACCCCCTTTTCCTGGCAGACCGAGAAAGTGTCTGGAAAAGCTTATTTTTATTTCCGCATCCGTGACGATCCAGAGCGGCTCAGTGGGCCAGAGCTCTGCTCCACCTCAGGCTGGTATTGTGTAAATTTAAATGAATACATATTTATTACTGACTATGTACTTCTTTAAAAGTGCTGCACCTTATTGATATTCATGGACATTAACATTGGGGGAAGCAGAATTTGCCCCCCTAAAATATTTATCATTGAGTATGACTTTCTTGGGATATTGATTATTTTAAGATGGTTGTTTTTAAAGGAACAAAAGACTCAGAGAGAATCTTTGATCTTCCCCCTAACTGCCTAAACGAATTTAGAGAACTTCCTCCTAGGAGGGCACTATCATCATAGCTAAATAGTTTAATATGAACTATGTCTAAGGAACCTACTAAGGCTCATTTGTCTGAAGTCCTCTCCTTGTCCCACAGTTAAAATGGTCCAGCAAATATTTATTTATCAAACATTTGCTTTACCATTTTCATGTGATTGCCTTCTTGCCTTTTGAAGTCCCCAACTTCTCCTCAGCTCCAGAATGAAATTTAAGCCTCAGTTGCCCAATACCCTTGGGTCTCATATTCGTATGGAACCCCCATATGTCATATGTAATAGATTTGTTCATATTATTAATCTGTCTCATGTTAATTTCATGATTAGCCCACCCAGAAGAACTTAAAAAGGTAGAGGCAAAAACTAATTTGTTCATATTATTAATCCGTCTCATGTTAATTTCATTATTAGCCCATCCAGAAGAACTTAAAAAGGTAGAAGCAAAAACTAATTTTTCTACCCCACAGCATCTTAGTGGGGGCGGGGGGGGGAGACAAGGAAATATACAAAAAAGGGATAAAACAGAATCTTCTGGAGCAGCTACCTTCTATCCTACTTCTTTGGTTACAGATTATGCTGCAGTAGGCAGCGATGCTTCCTAAATGTTTATTCTCCTGAAGTCATCCTCACAATTCCTCTGCTTCCATCAAGCAGATTCCAAATAGTCTAGGCCCCTAAACAAATTTTCAGAAGAGTTAAAGCACTTTTACATACACCACTTTTGAAATTTCTAAATTAAAAATTTAAAAACTCCCCACTAATTCAAAAGAACATAAGCACTCCTATGTTCATGGCAGCATTATTTACAATCTCTAAGATGTGGAAGCAGCCCAAATGACCATCAGTAAATGAGTGGATAAAATAAATATTGGACATTTACACAATGGAATACTACTGAGCTGTAAAAACAAAGAAAATTTTACCCTTTGTGACAGTATGGACGGACTTGGAGAACATTATGCTAACTGGAATAAGCCAGTCAGAGAAAGACAAATACCATATGATTTTACTCATATGTGCGATCTAATGAACAAACTGAACTAACAAACACAATAGAGACAGACTCTTTTCTTAAGCAGGCAGACAGCTAAGGAAGGGGGAGGTTAGAGGTTGGCGGGATTGAGCAAAAAGGAGAAAGGACTCATGGACATGGACAATGGTGTGGTGATTGCTGGTGGGAGGTGGGTATAAAGGGACTGAATAGTAATGGAAAAAATACAATAAAAAATTTTAAAAAGCATTTGTTACTTATAGGCCATTAGGCAAAATGCCATTGTTTTTTAGGAGTCTGGTCTGAATAACTATCCTCAGAAACTTCAAGGGCATGGCTTTTCAGGTTTAACTGAAAGTAAGTTTGGTTGCACCGACTCTTTAAAAGTTAGACAAATGAGGGTGGGACTGGATGGAAGAAGATGAAGGGATTAGCCAAAGAACATATCTGTATAATCCATCTACACAGACCCAGTGTGGTGATGGCTTGAGGGAAGTGAGCAAAGGGAGGGAAAATGGGGATATCTGTAAAAGTGTCAACAATAAAAGTAAAACTAAAAAAATAAAAATTAAAAATAAATGTACTGTCTCAATTAATTGGAATCAACTGCTTTTTTTTTTAAAGAAATAGTATCCTTGGTATATTATTAATGAAAACCTAGAAAGAAGATGGATCCAATGGATGTACATTTTCTTCAATTTTGATAGCATTTGTGCGATTTTATTTCTTGTCCTAGAAATTCAGAGAATGAGTCTGTTCTTGCTTTCTACAAATGATCTGCATTTTACTCATTTAAATAGAGGGCAAAAGCTATCTGAATGAATTTAAGTACTTTATATCTGCAACTTAATGTATTTTTGTTGTTGGCTCATCAGATTAAGTTACAATCAAAGTCTCCTTTATAAATGGACAGTTTGTCTTACCATGTAGAAGTGGTTAGTCCAAGCATTCAGCGAGCAATAGGCCTGGCTTGGGGCCTTTGGGCCAAGGCATCCTCAAGGGTGTAAACCTTACCTACCTGGATGCCTACAGTGTATTCATGCAACTGTACTGGTTTTACATTAACATGGTCCAGAATCCTGTCTGACCAAAGTGAACAAAGAAGTGAAAAAACAGAATAAAGGGAATTTCAGAATTAGAGATCATGAGGTTAAACTCTCAGCTAAGGGTCAAGGTTATAAAACCATACTTTATTCTGCTAGGAAAGTTTGGTATTTTTTCCTTTGGCATTGTTCGCCCTAAAGGTTTCTATTCCCCTCATGGCATTCCTACAATTTTATTTTTCTGGGGCTGTACCGGGAAGAGTAGTTGGGAGACAGGATAGGATGAGGTGGGGAGAGGCCGGGGGATGGAGATGAGGGGGTGGGTGGAACGACTCTTGGGTGATCTAGGACCAGCTAATTTATTCCTTTTCTCAGCTTGGGGAGCAACCCCTCTCTTCCTTGTGGCTTTGGCCTCCTGACCCAGACAGAGTGAAGCACAAGAGAGCGCGAATCCTGCCAGGTTACGGCTGCCAGCCAAGACTCCCAGCCCTCCCTATCCGGGTATGATGAAAAGGAGCAAGAGAAGAGGAAGTGTGTCAGGAGTGCATGAGTGGTGAAAGCCCGAAGAAGAGGCAAAGGGGGAAAAAGTACCCTTTGGAGGGGAACTGGCGGGCTAGAGCTGGCTAGGACAGGGGCGGAGCCCTGGGAGTCAGAGGAGCTGCCACTGCCCCAGTGGCTGCCTAGCAGAGCCAAAGGGAGGCGGGGAGGGACAGCCATGGGCGGGCTTCACCATCAGGCCCCAGGGCGAGATGAAACCTTTGCGGAGCCTCACTAACTTTTCCAGGCGGAAGAGGAGGAGAATGGGGCTTTGAGCGAGTTGGGGGTGGGGGGATGCTGAGGTAGGTGGTGGTCTCCCGGGCCTGGAGAAGGAAGGCTTTAGGACCTTCCCTAGAGCTTCTCCTAAATCCAATACTCTCTCCTCTGCAGTGCTCCCCACCCCCCCTCCCCCACCCCCAGCGACTTCCTGAGAATCCGCTGCTGTCAGCTTGCTCGGTAAACCATTTTCCTCCCGGGTTTCAAATCAAAACTTCCCCGGGGTGGGGTTTGCGGGAGGGAAGCGGAGGGGGAGGGAATGTCCTGCAGGGGTGGTGAGCTAAAACCCCCTTTTTTCCCCCACCAGAAGCAGTTTCTTCCCTGCACCCAGCACCTAACAGCGCTTCAGCGTCCGCCCGGCTGGGCGGCCAGCTAGGCAACTGTCTCTGGAGCAGCCCATGTCTGGCACTGGCGAAGCCCTAGCTCCTGAGCCCCAGCATGGGGCCGAAGCGGGTGACGGTCGCCTGGGCTCCCTGGCCCAGGGTGAGTGCGTGCTTGCGAGTTGCAGGCTTCTTTGTCATCGTTGCATTTTAAAATTTGTTAACACGTTTATTGGTTGGAGTGTGTGTGTGTGTGTGTGTGTGTGTGTGTGTGTGTGTGTGTGTATTGGGGGGGGGTGGAGGGGGCTGGGGTGCGATGAGGACACAATACCTACCTCATAGTTGTGAACTTTTTGCACAGTGTTATTTACTCAGAGCAAGTTCTCCAGGATTCCTGTCCTAGATAACAACTGGATTAAGAGGGCGGGAACCTCTGTCCCTCCACTCCCCCTTCCTTTGGCTGTGGAAAAACAGGATGGCAAAATTGCTTCTTTCCTAAGCATATACATCTAGGGCTCTTGAATGTGTGGGTTCTGAATCTTAGACCCTCGATCTCTTCAGTTTTTACGTCTTCATCAGATCCAGGCCCGCCTCTGTACTCTGAACAAGCATGCATTCCTTTTATCTTTCTGTTTCTTGTGGGCTACTCTGCAATCGGGTTTATAATCCAGTTTTCTGTGACCAATTACTTTGAAATGGGTCATGCATGCGTTTTCAATAACTGTTTTGTTTTGAAATAAATATTCCTTTAAAGAAATACTTTCTGACAATGAATTGGCTCCTTTATGTTCTTCCAAAGTGTAAACACATACAGATTATAAGAGATCTTGTTTGGGTGACTTCCATAACAAGCTTTTAAACAAGTCAGATTGTCTTTCTTCTCTTGAAAGTAACAACAGGTTTTCACTGGTAACCAAGAAAGAGCAAGGGCCTTACTCTTCTGATGTATTTTCCTCTTAGGGTGGTTTTGATTTAAAGAATTCTGATACTAATATGAACTCAAAAATTTCCCAGAGCTCAAAAACCTACTTTATACTTTTGATTTAAGCATATCTGATAGCTTCCCCCCATCCCCTTAACACTAATCTCGTGCACTCTTTAGCATTTTTTTTTAAGCCAGCAAAAAATATAAAAGAAGAAGTGAATGTTGAACCCACAATAGGCAAAAGCAGAAAACATCCATGGCTGAATCAAAATGCCTGGCATTGACGGTTGTTAATTAAATTATGTTTATCATTGTTTTCTGCTTAGAAAAAGTGAGTCATTTTTTCTAAACAGAGAAAATAGAGGAAATCAGGAAAATCAAAGAACTAGAATGATAAACATGTTTTTCTTTTTTTTTTCCAGAAGCAGCCCCTATTCTGCACATTGTAGTGCAAACACAACCATTCTCCTGTCCTTAAGCATGTACCCTGTAGTCATGGACTCATTCATTGATAGACTTTTTACAGTGACAGTTCAGATATTAATCACTATTGTTACACAGTGGTTATGTTAAAAATCAACATCAAACACACTAGAAAAACTACTGATTTGGAAATAGTTGATGTCTACTGTGTCCAACTTTAATTGTTTGCATTTTTAAAATCACGTAGAAGGCCTTGCAGTGATACTTAATGTACCTGTGCAAACACAATGCTGTGAGATATCACATTATCTGACTTTAAGAAGCAGACATTTAGAATGATCTGTAGGAGAATGTTGACTTCATACAACACACACAGTTTCAGTGTGGAAATTCTTGGGTTAGATTTTACCTGTAAACCAACTTCACCTCAGCAACAAAGTTACATATTGCTTTTTAAATTAGTTTAGTGTCCATTCACAACATCGTTTAAATAGGTATCAATTGAATTGTAAATAGGATGTAAAGTTGATTTTTTTTTAAAAAAGGAAATCATTAGGCTTATTACAAAATACTGTGTCTCAAACTGGCAGACTTTATAGGGTGTATTGAAAAAAAAATTTCATTGGAGTGAACAGGTAGGAAAAAAGCTTCATGATATAGGCTTCCTGGGTTAGGTTGGTTTTATTGGTAAATATATTGGTGAAGAAGGTTTAGTAGCAGGCCCTTTCTTGAATTCTTTTATTTTCTTCCTTATGTCCTTGGATTCTTTATCATCTTTGCTGAAGAACAGCTTAATAATTCTGTGGTAAGATATGAATGTTTACTTAATTGAAATTAATTTAAAACATTTCTATATTAAAGTCAATGAGAAAAACAATGTTTTATGAAACAAAATATCTTTTGCACAGTTACATGTATGTATGAAGGCATATATTTTAACCTATACGTATGAGCTCTCTATACTGCTAACCAAAAACATAGAATGTTAAAGTTGAAGGTAAATTTAGGGGTTTTCTAGTCTGATCTCCCCATCAAGTCTAGAATTCTTTTCTACATTCTTTTAGGTGGTTAGTTAGAAACCTACAATATAGTGCATTCTACAGCATTCAGTGTTAAGGACTTTCTTTATTGTGAGCATTGCTCTGTCTCTTTTAAATGTCTATCCTTTTGCTTTGATTCTGCAAGCAAAATTCTCTTGCTATGAAAACATTAAAAATATTTTCTGTGAATTTTGAAAATTATTGCAGAGCAAGGACACAAGCTCATATGCTCTAGCATGTAAGAGGAACTAGGATGGTTATCAGGAGATGAGGAGCAGTGGGGATTGTTGGCCACTGGAGAACTCATGGACCAGGAGGAGACACTTTTCAGCTCCAGCTCATCTTTGACATTTGGGTTCATATTTTCCAGTATTTGACAAGATACTGGAAATATAGTTTTTTATGTATCATCTCTCTTTTTTAAAGAGTTGGCAACTAATTAGATAACAATTATTGTCTAAACCAAATGAAAGAACAATACCTGCAGACTGGAAGTGGCTTCTAAGCAGCTGATTTGTGCTCTCCGTTATAGAAGATAGAAAGCAGAGGTACAATTTAAAACTATTTTCCTATTTGTGACTAACCTCTGAAAGGCTGATTTGTTTTGCACGTTTATACAAAGTACCTGTACCAGTAACTTGGGCTGAATTTATTTTTGTTATAAGAGAGAATGGATTTGTAAATATGGTTTATCTAATTGTCTTTTTTTTTTTTTTAATATTAAGCATGTTAAAATTCATCGCTACCAACACTGAGAATATATTTGCTTTTTTTTGTGCAATAGTTACTAGAATCCATATAATTTAAAGAGCCTTTTAATTAGTTCTCATTCATAAATTTGCAACCTGTAACTAGAAGGACCTTTAGAAATAATTTAGATTAACTGACTCACTTTTTGGAAAGGATGTCCAGAGATTTAAGTGACTTGCCCAAAGTCTCATACACAGTCAGTAGAAATCAGGATGGAAACACAAATTGTAAAGTATATTATGTCATTGTGATAAATCTAGTTGCAGCAGAGAATCAATACAACTTTTTCCTACAGATGGATGAATTGAAGACTCTGGGGTTTGGATACTGTGAAACACTTGAGCCTATTCCCATCTTTGTATACTCCACCCCCACCTCATTGTATTTGTCAAGACTTAGACTGTTGGACTGTGAGTGATAGAATATACTTTAATGTGATAATGTGTGATTTAATGCACTCTTCTCTCCTGGGAGAGTTCTCCGAGACTATTAGGCAAACTTTTTTATAGTAGGATGCAAAATGCCATTGAAGTTAATTAAAAATAATTTAAAATAGAAGCTAGGGAGAAAATCTTCAAGTTGAAATTACATGAGAATTGCTTTGATCTATAGAAGCTTAGCTGAGTTGTCAAAAGTTTATAGTGGTTAATCAAATTCCATATATGGAAAGCCTGTTTATTTCATTTCATCCAGTCTATGCTTAGAATATCCATAGTCTCCTACTTTTATCATATTATTTTATCCTTTTGATTAAGGGTGGTATTTCTCAAAATGTATCATATTTGGACAGCTTTTCTCTCTGGTTCTCATTTGGGGATTATTGTGCCCTCTGGGAGACATTTGGCAAAGTCTGGAGACAGGTGTTGTGGTCATAACGGGTAGTGGAATGGGTGCTCATGGCATCTGAGGAGTAGAGGATGGGGATAACAATGCACAGGACAGGACAGGACAGTCCCTCACAACAAAGAATGGTTTGGCCCAGAATGTCAGTAGTGTTGAGATACTATCCTAATCTCTCAAGGCCCTGGCTCAAGTTGGCTCAGAATCTCCTGGTAAATGACTCAAAAATCTGCATTTTTTACAAGTTGTAGATATTCTTTATCTGTAGTTGATAATCATTGTTTTAGAGGCTTTTATTTGTCAAAGAATGTTATCTTGATAGATTATAAAGCCTTTTTTTTTTTTGTAGAAAAGCTTAAAAAAGCTTTTAAAAATTCCCTTTTTCAAGTTCCAAACTTTAAATCACATCCCGTCACATACATACATTTTCTATTAGTGCTCTCCAGCATTTTGATCGCATATCCCAACTAAAAAAAATAGTTCTCAATATTTGTTCTCAAATTTCCTTTTAAAATTATATGTATTGAATATGAATATATTTTGAACATTAGAAAAAAATACATGCATCAAAATCTAAAAAGATGAGATAAAAGGGAATACATAAATAAATTTGTTAATACTTTCAGCTATCACTTCAGTAGATATTCTTGACCTGCCACCCTATACTTGTGATTGGTGATCCCAGCATTATGGAATAATAAGGAAAGAAGTCCCTAATCTGCACATGGGTTGTCATCTGTGAGTTAGGTTTTTGGAACCTGGATTATCTTTTCTCATACAGAGTGATAAATTATATTTAGTTACATAGTAAATCCTAAAAGATTGTTGAGATTAAATTTTAGTAAGTTTCATATGTTTACCATAATAAAGCATAGAGAACAAAATACTGGCAACCAAATATGAATAACCAAAAACAGAATTAAGTTGAATAGAAACTGTTTTGAAACACTTTTGAATATAGGAACTCAAGCTAAGGCAGGCTTAATTAGAAAACCATAGAAACTTGTCTAAATTTGGAAGAAGATTTAGGGGCATGTTCAAGCTCCTTAGGACTTACACTCCCAATTCCTTTTTATGTCTAAAGGAACTAATGCTCATTTTATAAGTTTAGTTATATAAGTGCAAGACTTTATCAGCTAGGCATGTTCATTTTCCTTTTGTTAAGGGAAAGAATCACATAAGTAA